TTCTCTCATTTTCTTCTTCCCAACCCCTTCCTTCCCACTCTCCCCATCTCTTCCCCCTTCCCTCTACCCCTTCCACTTTCTTTCTCACTCCTTCCTTCACTTCCTCTCTCCTTCCCTTCCCCATTTCTCTCTCTCTCACTCCCTCCCTCCCGACTTTCCCTCCTCTCTCTCTTCCTCCTTCCCTCTCTCCTTCCTTCCTCTCTCTCTTCCTCCCTCCTTCCCTTCCTCTCTCCCTCTTTCCTTTCTTTCCTCTCTCTCTTCCTCCCCTCTGCCTTCCTCCTACCTCCTCTCTGTACCTCCCTCCTTCCCTTCTCTCTCTACCTCCTTCCTTCCCTTCTCTCTCTTTGTACCTTCATCCTTCCCTTCCTCTCTCCCTCTTTCCTTTCTTCTCTCTCTTCCTCCCTCCTTCCCTTCCTCTCTCCCTCTTTCCTTTCTTTCTCTCTCTCTCTTCCTCCTCCTAGCTCTTACCTCCTCTCTCTCCTTCCTTCCTCCCTCTTTCTACCTTCTCCCTCCTACCTCCTCTCCTCCTCCCCTTCCCTCCTTCCTTCCCTCTACCTCCCCCCCTTTCCTCCTTCTCTGTACCTCCCTCTCTACCTCCCTCCTTCCCTTCCCTCTCTCCTACCTCCTCCCTTCCCTTCCTCTCTCTTCCTCCATCCTTCCCTTCCTCCCTCTCTCTACTCCCTCCTTCCCTTCCTCTCTCTTTCCTCGTCCCTTCCCTTCCTTCCCTCTCCTTCCTCCTCTCTACCTCCCTCGCCTTCCTCCTTCTCTGCCTCCCCTCTCTGCCTCCCTCCTTCACTTCCTCTCTCTACCTCCTTCCTTCCCTTCTCTCTTTGTACCTCCCCTCCTTCCCTTCCTCCTTCTCTGTACCTCCCTCTCTCTTCTTCCTTTCTTCCCTTCTCCCCTCTCTCTTCCTCTCTCCTTCCCTTCCTCCTCCTCTCTACCTCCCTCCTTCCATTCCTCCCTCTCTTCCTCTCTCCTTCCCTTCCTCCCTCTCTCTTCCTCTCTCCTTCCCTTCCTCCCTCTCTCTACCTCCCTCCTTTCCTCCCTCCCTCTCTACCTCCTTCTTCCCTTCCTCCCCTCTCTCTCTACCTCCTTCCTTCCTTTCCTCCCTCTCTCTCATCCTTCCTTCCCTTCCTCCTCTCTCTACCTCCTCCTTCCTTCCTCCTCTCCACCTCCTTCCTCCCCTTCCTCCCTCTCTCTACCTTCTTCCTTCCCTTCCTCCCCTCTCTCTACCTCCCTCCCTTCCTTCCCTCCCCTCTCTCTACCTTCTTCCTTCCCTCCCCTCCCTCTCTCTACCTTCTTCCTTCCCTTCTCCCTCTCTCTACCTCCCTCCTTCCATCCTCCCCTCTCCCACCTCCTTCCTTCCCTTCTCCTCTCTCTCCTCCCTCCTTCCTCCTTCCCTCCCTCCCCTCTCTCTACCTTCTTCCTTCTCCCCTTCCTCCCTCTCTCTACCTTCCTCCTTCTCCCTCTCTCCCTCTCTTCCTTCCTTCCCTCTCCTCCCTCTCTCTACCTTCTTCCCTTCCCCTTCCTCTCTCTCTTCTTCCTCCCTCCTCTCTCCTACCTCCTCTTCCTTCCCTCCTCCTCTTCCTCTCCCTCTCTCTACCTCCTCCTTCCTTCCTTCCTCCCTCTCTCCTACCTCCTTCCTCCCTTCCCCCTCCCCACCTCCCTCCTTCCTTCCTCCCTCTCTCTACCTTCTTCCTTCCCTTCCTCCCCTCTCTCTACCTTCTTCCTCCCCTTCCTCCCCTCTCTACCTTCTTCCTTCCCTCCCTCCCTCTCTCTCTACCTTCTTCCTTCCCTCCCTCTCCCTCTCTCTACCTTCTTCCTTCCCTTCCTCCTCTCTCCCTTCACTCCCTCCTTCCTCCCCTCCCTCTCTCTCTCCCCTTCCCTTCCTCCCTCTCTTCTCCTCTCTCTTCCCTTCCTCCTCTCCTCTCTCCTTCCTTCCTCCCTTTCTCTACCTTCCTCCTTCTCTTCCTCCGTCTCTTTCCTTCCTCTACCTCCTCCTTCCCTTCCTTCCCTCTCTACCCCCTCCTTCCTTCCTCCCTCTTCCTACCCTTCCCCCTTCCTCCCTTCTCTCTCTGTCCTTCCTTCCCTTCCTCCCTCTCTCTACCTCCTCCTTTCCTTTCCTCTCTCTCCTCCGTCTCTCTCTCTACCCCTTCCTTCCCTTCTCCTCCTCTCTCTCTACCTCCTTCCTTCCTTCCTTTCTCTCTCTACCTTCATTCCCTTCCTCCCTCTTTCTCTCTACCTCCTTCCTTCCTTCCTTCCTCTCTCTACCTCCTTCCATCTCTTCCTCCCTCTCTACCTTCTTCCTTCCTTCCTCCCTCTCTCTCCTTCCTTCTCTTCCTCCTCTCTCTACCTCCTTCCTTCCTTCTCCTCTCTACCTCCTTCCTTCCCTTCCTCCCTCTCTCTACCTCCTTCATTTCCTTCCTCCGTCTCTCTCTACCCCTTCCTCCTTTCTCGCTCTCTCTACTTCCTTCCTTCCCTTCCTCCTCTCTCTGCCTCCTTCCTTCCTTCCTCCTCTCTCCACCTCCTTCCTTCCTTCCTCCCCTCTCTACCTCCTTCCTTCCCCTTCCTCCATCTGTATGCCTTCCTCCTTCCTTCCTCCTCTCTACCTCCCTCCTTCCCTTCCTCCCTCTTTCTACCTCCCTTCCTTCCTTCCTCCCTCTTTCTACCTCCCTTCCTTCTTCCCTTCCTCCCTCTCTCTACCTCCCTTCCTTCTTCCCTTCCTCCATGTTAGTCCCCAAATGATAAAGCTTGTGTAAGGAATCGTTAATTCATTATAAATGCAGCAAATTTAACCCAAATGTGCATTCCTTGATAATGTTATTTATTTCTAACGTAACTCACTATTTTTTTTGCCTCGGGGAGAACATCTTCATTCATGCTTGTAGTACAGATGTACTTGAGTGTTGTAGACATGGGATGGTAGCCTGTGACCCCTGGCAGACTGAGGTGTAATACTCATCTGGAGTCTGAAGGTCTTAGGTTTAGTAGTTGTGTTGAGTTAAGTGTTTTTTTTTTTTTACTGGTCTAGGTGCACCCCTATGGGCCCTTGTAGGGGCGGCGGTGCTCCCAGGGGCCTTTCTAGAGGTGGCGGCGCACCCAGGGGCCCTCCCAAGGGTGGCAGGGCCCCCAGAGACTTGATAGAGCTGTCGTACATATTACAACCGTCCAGTAATCCCTTACTTAACTGTCATTGGTGGACTAAAATGTAAACCCACCAAATTACAGCCAATAGGAGAACAGAGAACTCAGTCAGCACAACACCCCAGCTTATGTTTTCCTGTTGGATATTTATTCTCCATTTAATTGTTCAGGATACTGGAAATGTGATGGGCGGTGCACGTCATATCTCCCGGACTTTTAAATAGTGGAAAAACAACTACTGCCCCAAGGGCCACTCCCAAAGACGGTGGAGCCTACAGGGGCCTTCTCAGGAACGGTGTCGCCCCCAGGGGCCATTACAGGTGCAATGGCACCTCAGTGTTTGTCCCAGAGAGAGCAGTGCTGCCAGGGGCCCTCCCAGGGAAAGCTGTGCCCCCAGGGGACCTGCCAGGAGCCTTCCCAGGGACAACGGCACCAACAGAGGCCCTCCTATGAAAGGTGATGCCATCAGGGATTCTGCCAGGGGCATTGGCGCTCCACGGGGATCTTCTAGGGACCGCAGCACTTTCAGGAGCCCTTACACAGACAGTGACGCATTCAGGGGGCCCCTTCAAGAGCGGTGGCGCCCCCAGGGCGCCATGTCAGGGACGGCGGCACCCCAGGGCCCTCTTAGGGTTTGCGGTGCCCCCAGGGGTCCTTCCTGAAACAGCGGCACCCCTATGGGCTCTTGTAGGGGCGGCGGCGTTCCCAGGGGCCTTTCTAGGGGAGGCAGTGGCCCCAGGGGCCCTTCCAAGGGTTTCGGGGCCATCAGAGACTTGATAGAGGTGTCGTACATATTAGATTCGTCCAGTAATCACTTACTAAACTGTGATTGGTGGACTAAAATGTAAACCCACCAAATTACAGCCAATAGGAGAACAGAGAACTCAGTCAGCACAACACCCCAGCTTATGTTTTCCTGTTGGATATTTATTCTCCATTTAACTGTTCAGGATACTGGAAATGTGATGGGCGGTGCACGTCATATCTCCCGGACTTTTAAATAGTGGAAAAATAACTATTACCCCCAGGGGCATTCCCAAAAACGGTGGCGCCTACAGGGGCCTTCTCAAGGGCAGTGGTGCCCCCAGGGGTCCTGCCAGGGGCCTTGCCAGGGGCGGTGGAACACCCAGGGGCACTGGCGCCTCCAGAGGCCCTGCCAGGGCTCTCCCAGGGATCCTTCCTAGGGGCGGTGAAGTCCCCAGCGGCTCTGCCAATGGTGCTGGCGTGCCCAAGGGCTCTCCCAAAGACTTCGGCGCCCTCAGTGGACCTGGCAGGGGAGCTGTCGTATCCAAGGGCACTCCAAAGGACAGCTGCGCTCCCAGGGGCCCTCTCAGGGAAGGCGGAGCCCTGGGAACCCTGCTAGGGACACTGGCGCCCCAGGAGTTTTCCCAGGGTCAGTGGGGCTCCCAGGGGCCCTACCAGGGACGCCGGTGCTCCTATGGCCCCTAGGGGTTCTGCCGGGGACTGCGGCGCCCCCAGAAGCTCTTTCATGGACTGCAGTGCCCCCATGGCTCCTCTAAGATGTGGTGGCGCCCACAGGGTCCTCCCAGGGAAATTGGCGCCCCCAGGGGCCTTGCCAGGAGCCTTCCCAGGGACGATGGCACCACCGGAGACCCTCATAGGAAAGGCAGTGCTCCCAGGGGTTTATCTAGGGACGGCGGCTCCCCCAAGGACCCTGCCAGGGTCGCTGGCGCTCCCAGGGATTCTCTGAAGGACAGCCGCGCCTCAGCGGCCCTTCCAGACCCCGTAGTACCCTCAGTGGCCCTCCCAGGGACGGTTGCGCCCCCAGGGTCCATGTCAAGGTCGGAGGAGCCCCCATGAATCTCCCAAAGACGGCGGCGCACCCAGGGGCCCTGTCAGGGGCGCTGGCGTTCCCTATGGCTTTCTCGGGGACAGCGGCACTCCCAGGGGCCCGCTAAGGGACGGCAACGTTCCGAGAGGCTCTCCCAGGGAATGCGGCGTCCCCCAAGGGCCGTGCTAGGGGTGCTCACAGGGACAGCGGCGCTCCCAGTGGCCCTTCCAGGGACGGCGGCGCCTCCTGGGGCACTGCCAGGGGTGGTGGCGCCCTCAGGGACCATGCCAGGGGCAGTGGCAGTTCCAGGGGCAGTGGCGGTCCCAGGCACCCTCTCAGGGGCAGTGGTGCTCCCAGGGTCCTCAGGGATGAGGGTGCCCCCAGGGGCCCTGTCACTTGCGCTAGCGACCCGAGGCTCTTTCAGGGACGGCAGCGCCCCAAGGGCTCTCCCATGTGGCCCTCTCAGGGACAGCCTTGCCCCAGGGTCCATACCAGGGAAGGAGAAGCCCCCAGGGGCTCTGCCAGGGGTGGTGGCGCCCCCAGGGGCCCTGTCAGGGACGGTGGCATTCCCAGGAGCCCTGACAGGGGCGCTGGAGCCCCCAGGGGCTTTCCCAAGGACAGCGGTGCTCCCAGGGGCCCTACCATGGACGGCGGCGCCCCCAGGGGCTCCTTCAGGGGCGGTGGGGTGCCAATACGGTCTTCCAGGGGACCTCCTAGGGGCGGTGGCGCTCCGAGGGCCCGTGCCAGGGGCGGTGGTGGTCCTAGGGGACCCCGCAACCCCTGCAATAGTCCTTGAGAACGCTGCTGTCCTTGGGAGGCTCGAGGGGCGCGGCTGCTCCTGGGATGGTTCCTGGGGGCTCCTCCGCCCCTGGGAAGGTCCCTGGGGCCGCCCCAGACCCTGGGAGGGTCACTGGGGACGCCGATACTCATGGTATAGCCTCTTGGTGCGTCGCTGACACTGCGGGTGTCTTTGAGGGGTGCCCGCCGCCCTTGAGTGGGTTTCTGGTGGCGCCACCACCACCCCTGGGAGGGCCCCTGGAGGCGTCGCCACTGTGGGAGGGTCCCTGGGGGCGTGGCACTCCCTGAAAAGGTCAATCGGGGCTTCGTCGCCCCTGGGAGGGTCCATGAGGGCGCAGTCGCACCTGGGAGGATCCCTGGGTGGCGCCGTCACCGCTGAGTGGGCACTGGTGGCGCCACCACCCCTGGGAGGGCCCCTGGGGGCGCTTTCGTCCCTGAGTGGGACCCTGGCAACGCCACCATAACTGGGAGAGCCTTTGGGAGCGCCAGTACCCCTGGGAGGGCACCTGAGGGGAGTTTATGGGCCCCAGAGAGTGTCCCTGGGAGTGCCGCCACCCGTGGGAGAGTCCCTGGGGGAGCCACCGTTTCTGACAAGGTCACTAGGGGTGCCACCGCCTCTGGGAGGGTCCCTGGGGTCGCCACCGCCTCTGGGAGGGTCCCTGGGGGCGTCACCACCCATGGGAGTGCCCCTAAGGGTGCAGCCGCTTATGAGAGGGCGCCTGGGGGCGCCGCTGCTCCTGGAATGGTTCCTGGAGGCGTAGGCGCCTCTTGACGGGCTCCTGGGGGCGCTGTCAACTCTAGGAGGACCCCTGGGAGCGCCAGAACTGTAGGGCCCCTGGGTGCAGCTGTTTTGGCGCAATTTAGAACTCTGGGAGATGCAACGTTCAATAAATACGCCGCCCATCACATTTCCAGTATCATCGCCTTCTGAAGAAGGTAACAGAGAATAATATCCAACAGGAAATCATAAGTTGTGTTGTTGTGCTGACTGACTGCTTGCTTCTCCCATTGGCTGTAATTTGGTGGATTAAAAGAAGAGTCCACCAATCATAGTTCAGTAAGGGACTGCTAAAAGCATGTAATATATATGACACAACAAACAAGCATGCCATAGGGTCCCTAGGGACCCTTGGTAGGGTCCGTGGGGGCGCCACCGCCCTTTGGAGGGTCCTTGGGGGCACCGCCTTTGGAACGTCCCTGTGGGTGCCGCCGCCTCTGGGAGGGTCCCTGGCGGTGCCACGGTCCCTAGGAGTGTCCCTGGGGGCCCCGCCGCCCCTGGCAGGAACCCTGGGGGCGCCACCATCCTTGGGAGGGTCCCTGGATGCACCGCCGTCCCCCGGAGGATTCCCGGGGACGCCACCGCCTCCGGGAGGGTCCCTGTGAGCGCCACTACGACTGAAATATCCCTGGGGGTGTCACTTCCTCTGGGAGGGGCCTTGGGGGCGTTCGCTGACCCAAGAAGAGCCCCTGGAAGCGCCAGAACTGTAGGGCCACTGGGTGCAGTAGTTTTTACGCTATTTAGAAGTCTGGGAGATACAACGTTCAATAACTACACCGCCCATCACATTTTCAGTATCATCGCCTTCTGAAAAAGGTAACAGAGAATAATATCCAACAGGAAATCATAAGTTGTGTTATTGTGCTGACTGACTGCTCTCTTCTCCTGTTGGCTGTAATTTGGTGGATTAAAAGAAGAGTCCACCAATCATACTTCAGTAAGGGACTGCTGGAAGTATGTAATGTATACGACACAATGAACAAGCATGCCATAGGGCCCCTGGGGACCCTTGGAAGGGCGCCGCTTCTCCTTGTAGGGTCCTTGGGGGCGTCTCCGCCCCTGGGAACTCTGCCACCACTGGGAGGGTACCTAGGGGTGCCGCCGCCCTGGCGAGAGTCCTTATGGGAGCTGCTGTCCCTGGAAAGGTCCCTGGGGGCGCGGTTGCCAATGGGAGCATTCCTAGGGGTTTGCTGCCCCTGGAAGGTTCCTGGGGGTGCCGCCGCCTCTGGGAAGATCTCTGGGAGAATCCCTGGGGGCGCCACCGTCTCTGGGAGCACCCTTGGGTGTGCCGCCGCCCCTGGGAGTGTCACTGGTTGCGCCGACATCCCTGGTAGAGTCCTGAGGGTGTCGCCGCCACTGTGAGAGACCTTGGGGGCGCCGCTTGACCTGGAAGTGTCCCTAGAGGTGCCACCCTCACTGGGAGGGTCCCTGGGGGCGTTGCTGCGTTCAGTGGGCCTCTGGAGGCGCCATCACCCCTTGCAGGGCCCCTGGGGTTGCCACCACCACTGGAAGGGTCCCAGGGGGCGTCGCCGCCCCTGAGAGGGTCCTTGGGAGTGCCACCGTCCCTGGAAGGGTCCATGGGGCACCGACGCTCCTGGGAGGGTCCCTGGGGGCGCCACCGTTTCTGGAAGGGTCCCTGGGGGGCGCTAATGCCCCTCAGTGGGACCCTGAGAACGCCACCACCCATGGGAGAGCCCCTGGGCTCGCCACCACCCATGGGAGAGCCCCTGGGCTCGCCACCACCGTTGGGAGGGCCCCTGGGGGCATCACCGCCTCTGGGAGGGCCTCTGGGGGCGCTGCCACCCGTGGGAGGATCTTTGAGGGCGTCGCTGTCCCTGGGAAGGTCACTGGGGGCGCTGCCGCCCCTGGGAGGGTCCCAGGGTACGCCACCCGCCGTGGAACGTCCCTGGGGGTAACAGCGCCTCTGGAAGGGTCACTTTGGACGCCATCTCCCCTGGGAATGTTGCTGAGGGCGTCACCACCCATGGGAGGGCCTCGAGGGTGCAGACGTCTTCGAGATGGTCCCTGGAGGCGTCGGCGCCCCTGGGAAGGTTCCTGAGGGCACTGCCACTTCTGGAAGGGCCCCTTGGGGCATTGCCGACATTAGAAGGGCCCCTGGGAGCGCCAGACCTGTAGGGACCCTGGGTGCAGTAGTTTTTGCGCTATTTAGAACTTTGGGAGATGCAACGTTAAATAAATACACTGCCTATCTCATTTCCAGTATCATCGCCTTCTGAAGAAGGTAACGGAGAATAATATCCAACAGGAAATCATAAGTTGTGGTGTTGTGCTGACTGATTGTTTTCTTCTCCTATTGGTTGTAATTTTGTGGGTTAAATGAATAGTCCACCAATCAAAGTTCAGTAAGGAACTGTTGGAAGTATGTAATATATATGACACAAAGAACAAGCATGCCATTGCCATAGTGCCCCTGGGGACCCTTGGGAGGGTCCCTGGGGGGCGCCGGCCCTGGGAGGGTCCCTGAGGGCGCCTCCGTCCCTGGGAGGGTCCTTGGAAGCACCGCCGCCCCTGGGGGGTCTCTTGGGGCGTCAGCGCCTCTGGGAGGTGTCCCTGGGTGCGCCCTCGCCCTTGGGAGGGTCCCTGGGGAAACTATCGTCGTGTCCTTCGACATCTCCAAAGCATTTGACAGGGTATGACACAAGTCTTTGCTTTCTGAACTTCCCTCTTATGGTTTCTCTCCCCCACTTTGTTCTCTAATTCAATGCTTCCTTGAGAACCGACCCAAGGCAGTTGTTGTCGAAGTATCGATCTCTCGCTCTTTCTCTACCAATAGTGGTGTCCCAGATGGTTTAGTTCTCGCACCTACTCTCTTCTTTGCATCAATGATTTACTTCACACTTCGAATAATTCTATCCATTCTTCCACTGATGATTCTACTGTTTACTCTTCTTCACATTTTTCCCTTCCCCTAATTCTCAAACTAGATCTGTTTCTAGAGCTGATATCATTTCATCTATCAATTCGGATCTGTGCAGCATCTCGAAATGGGGAGGTAGAAACTTGGTTAAATTCAATAGTAATAAACCTCAGTATTTACCAATTACTCTTTCCAAATTAGATTATCTCCCACCAATCACATTTCAGGACCCTATCATTCTGCCAAATTCTAAAATAGATATGCTAGGTCTCACCATTTCCTCTAATATGTCATGGAAGCCACACATCCACAACATTGCTAAAGCTGCCTCCCGAAAACTGGGAATGCTGTACAGATGCCGTAGCTACTTCACTCCTGAGCAGTTACTTCAAGTTTATAAGGAATTCATTCGTCCTAACTTGGAGTACTGCTCTCATATCTAGGGTGGCTCTCCTGTCTAACTGTTAGATAGGGTGGAATCAAAGAGATTTTGTCTTATTAACTCTCCTCCTTTAGTTTACAATCTTTCTTCCCTTTCTCTTTGCCACAATGTGCTTCACTCTCTCTCTTTTACAGGTACTTCAACGGGCAATGTTCGGTGGATTTGGCATCCTGTTTACCGCCGGCAAGACCGTGGGCTCGTAACACTCGTCTTGCCCGCGGTGCCCACCGTTTCTCTGTGGATGTCGGTCACACTAAAATAACCCGTTATAGTACATCCTTTTTTCCTCACACAGTCAAACTGAGGATTGCTCTGCCTTCTTTTGTGTTTCCATACTCTTACAGTCTGTCTTATTTCAAAAAGCTGGTTTTCCGGCATCTTCGTGATGTAGATTAATGTAATCTTTTTCTTTCTATTTTCATTTTTTTCCCTCTTAATTTTTTTCGCCCCTTAGGCCCCGTTGTGGGTCGATGACCTGTGCCCGGGTGGGCTATTCCCCTAAAAAAAAAAAAACCTACGGGCACAGGTCACCGACCCACATCGGAGCCTGGAGGGGGGGTGCAAAAAAAGTCATTACACCGTAATAAATAGACATGAAAAAAAAAAAATAAAAACAGTTCAGTAGTGAGAAACGATAGATGTTTGTTGCGTTGTCAAAGTAAGAGAAACAATTGAGACCCTGCAATTGTGTGTAAATGAGGCAGAAAGTCAGATCAGTAACCAGGGACTTCGTCAAAATTTGTGTGATGCCATAGGACAGCAGGGTCTACCATTAGAAAACACATTATACTTCCACTAACTTCACAGGAGGTAGTACCTCCCTGTTAGATAGCTGCCTATTACCTTTAATTAAAAGCATGTGAATAAGTAAGCTGGGCTGTGATAGTTGTAAAAATGTATGGAATAAAACGCAACATACTATTGCTTTTTATTGTTCTGATACAAATCATTATCTACAAGTGGTACGATGTGGCATGTCTTATTTAATAATTATGGTAATAATAATATTATTATTATTGATAACCATAATGGCAATAATGATCATCAAAATAACTTGCACTCCATAAGATCCACACACATGGAAAAAGACGTCCCTAGTGATATCTGGCACGTCCTAGCGCACTACGATACCCTCCCGGGCGATATGTTGACATGCGTCCTCTGCCCGGGCCGCCACCGCCCCTGCAGGCTGCAGGGGCGGCAGCTGGGGTCCACCCCTCACAGTGGGCGGGCCGGTGCGGGCCGGGCTCCTGGCGCGGGCCGGCTGGGCAGCTCACCGGCGGCTGGGCGGCAGGCACTAGCATGAAGCCTAGCAGGACACTTCATCTACAGCAATTCAAGTAAAATACCTAAAAGTTTTGAATCACAAACTTGGTAACTTGGCGAGTAACGTGGGGATAAACAAACATGGCGGGAGCGAACTGGCAAACCGAGCCCTTGATCCTGGTGATGGGCTATGGCCGCCCCTCCCGCGGGCCAGCAGGACCCAGCCAGGAGTAAATGGCAGTTGGCGGGCCAGGCGCGGGCCGGGCTACTGGCGGTCTCATAACAGGCAAGAGGGATGCTCCAGTGTCACCTGGCCCGACCCTCACCGAGCCCCAGACAGCAGCAACACGCGCGGCTCTCGATACTCTTTGTGCCTTCTACTCACGCAGCTTTGAAAGCACGAGTTTGGCCGCACGGAGTGCGGTCCTGCGTGTGGGGCGGCCCGGTGCGGCCCAACCTGATTCAAGCGGGGCCGCCGGGTCGCGGGCTGATAGTCAGCGCAGCCGTGGACGCTCCGTTGTCACGCTGAAGGCTCCCAGAGCGGCCCGCCCAGCCTGGTGGTGGCCGCCTGGGGTGCCTTACGGAGTCCTTCATAGGAAAACACTGGTGCAGAAAAGCTGCTGTTTGTGACAACCAGCGTCCAGGGCGACATGGGTGTGATATGCATCATTCACGATTGGTTCAGGGAACTGGTCAAAACAAGAGAGGGGCTTGATGGATGTTCATGTTCGGCTGGAATGTAACGCATCAAACTTCACCTGTAGGCAGTATGTTGGCTTCATTTAATATTATTAAGCTTATATTCCTTTTAATGCTTTTTCTTCTAAACTTGGGTGCGATTAGATAAAATTAAAAGCGTCACAGGCAAAACAAACATGTTAGAGGTACACACACAAACTTGGGCAACACAACAAGTGGGCAAGACTCAGTGCAACTTATAGCGCTTCAGACACTGGTCAACAGAGACAAACAACGCACAGACCTGTACAATTAACAGTCAGTTTTTTTGTTAAGCCACATTTTCGGTGCCCTGAGATCTTTCAAGCTTCCACGTGAAGAGTTGTCAAGACTCAAGAGCATACAAAATAGCATAGTTACCCCGATCCACAGAGCGCCGTTCCTCCCAAGAGAAACTAATGAACACGTCCTCTTAGCAGGAACTAGGGCGCTACCATAACTCCGACGCAGACAGTCGAACCACGACGAAGACTGATTACTGGTATTCCACACAGTGGAGGTCTACTCTGCCCACACTAAACTGCTACTGAGAACTGCTCCTGCTATGGTATCTCCTGCTCAGTCAGAAGCTAACCTCTTACAAATGCATCTAGCGAAATTCACACTACTTTTACAAGTATATCGGAAATGCCTTTGAGGAACTTTCTTAAACCTACTGCTATGTGTCTAATTGTAGTGCCTCACAAGCGGGGTTATTTACAGCATGTTGCGGAGAATGTGACTGGTTGTCATGGCAGCTAGCAATTTGATGAACTTTACTATTTATACATATGTAGATCGGGGGCAAAATTTTGATTTGAGATTTTGATAACACTTTCCAGGTGGGCACCATATCTTCTTGACACCATACGAGGACACGCGTGGTGGTGGAGAAGACAAAACGTGAAACAATCTGAGTATATTATGAAAAATAACTGAACAAGCAATAATACGAACAAAACTTGTAAACTCATTAAAATCATATTTGCATAAATCATACGTGACACACCGCAATTGTACAACAATCGGTAACAATTTATTTGTTTGTATCGGTGACAAGGTCCATTTGAAATCCGTCCACCAGCTCTCTTGGGGCTGCGACCGTTGGCGTTCGATGGTAATATGTTCATACTGCATATAATTAGTTAATTGATGGTTTTATATATATATATATATATATATATATATATATATATATATATATATATATATATATATATATATATATATATATATATATAGATATACTCGAGGTCAATTATGCATAAGAGTTTTACGTTTCAAAATATATTTTGCAAAGTTAGGGAAGGTAAGCGCTACTTCCTTTTCTATAACTAGTCCTACATTGGTATTACAGAAAACGGTTCAAGCAGATAGCGCTGGTGGAAGGTAAACCATACGAACCTTGGGGATACATGGTCACTATAACAAGGCACGAGGTGGTGGCTAGGAAGGCACAGTATGAACCGTGACCAGGACCTTCTAGCAGTGCCGCCACAGAAAAAATACCATGAAAACCTCAGGGTTGTGATATTCTTGGTTTAGATGTTAATCGCTTGATATCATTTTCAGATCTAGGAGCTATGTTTCATTGTGGCCGAATGTGTTGCTTCATTGTATCCTGCCTTGTGTGGGGACTTGCCAAGGTTTGTGACACGACCGCCGGTTTCAAGCCTTTGAATGCATTCTCCAAATAAGCTCATGACCTTGTGTTACGTGTACGGCTGCTGAGGGTGGTGATTTACTGCGTGCGTGCGACTCATAACGACCGGTCGTATCACATTTTCTGTGCAGCACTTAGGGGACAAGCGCCACCAGTCACAGCGCAGGGTCGCTGCTCGGGCCTCGCACACTCCACACAGATGTTGGTTGTGGATAAATAATGTACATTACTCTTAGTTAGTAAACATGGAAATTCCCTTGATGAGGAGCGATATAACTGTGTAATCACAGTCCATAGCTTTCTATATCACCTTGCTACCAGATGACTAATGAAAATTTCTAACACGTTGTAAATTAACTATACTGTATCTGCACTAAATAACATTTAAAACGATGAATAACCTAAAGCGCGGCGCACAAGTGACGCCAACCTTCAGTACAAGTTGAGGGAATGTGGCTGTAGGATGCAGTATTGTGTGTAGTGTTAAGAGATGAGATATGACGACTGTATAAGTACTTCAATATTTACATGGACAATCTGCTAAGTGACTATCGTTATGAGACAATGAGTAAATTTACAGGTTGTAAGTTGTGTTTAAGCGTGAGGGTGACGCAAGTGTCGAGTGACAAGTGTGAGTGACGCAAATGTTTGTGTTGTGGTGGGCGACAGGCATGCTTCACACACTCATTCATAGGTCGGTAAAGGCGCTTAAAGATCCCGATGTTATTTCTTAAAACTAGAATTAATTTAAATGACCAAAGAAAATTTAAAATAAAAAAAAGAAGAAAAATGTTTAAAAGGACTTATTGTCGACATGCTATACATTTCAATTTCTAAATAATCATAAACATTCATTCTTAACTTATGATACCCCATATTTTTCCCATTCCTCTATGCCACAGCTTAGAGTTGACACCCAGGCCAAAGTTTTGTCTGATTGACTACAGAAGGTGAACCAAAGTCTACACAAAATATAGTTATTTAAGAAACCAAATATTCACAGGTTGCTGTACCATTCAGCATGATTCTCATTTATGGCTAAACATACAGAATGCATCATATCAGTTACTGTATACCTAGCCTGTACCCAAGGCAAGGCCACAACATGGGTGTTAGGCTCTCTCTTCATGAGCCCCCCCAGAAGCGGCCATCAGCTGAGGAGGGAATTCGACTACGGCAATGAGTTAACAAAACCTGGGAGTGTAGCGATTGCTGAAGGTGGAGGGTGTGAGGGGATGGGGATTGCCAGATAGAGACCATCGCGGTGCAAGTTGTACGAGGCCCTTAGCAGCGACGTGCACCCATGCCTGCCCGTGGATGTAAAGAACTGCCTACCTACAGCGTGTATAACAGTGTGGTGGAGCCATACAGACTAAATCAACAGAAAGGCACAACAAGCAAGACGGGAAAACCATCGCCAGTTGGGTCGTCACACAAACGCCCAGAACACATCTAAGTATGGATCACCTACTGTGCTGTATACATCAACTTTACCACATACACATATTTACATGTAGAGTAAAGTTAGGTATGCTCCAGGTCACCTAATAATGTAGGCGGTAGTCTTGCCTTCTTTACAAATGGATGTCATTAAAATAGTGTAAATAACTGTAACAGTATGGATGTGGGAGCGCAGGATGCCCGCTTTGCTGTCCTCACCAACCACTAATATGGCACCAACAACTACCCACGTCTTTACTCTTTATGCCAGATTTAAAACTGGTAAATCAGTGGTAACGAGACATTTACTTTCCCTGGAGTGAGGCCAGACAGCAATTAGCGGGGTACCAGTCCCAGGCTCCCAACATTAGTCCATAACTCGGTACTCTTCCTCGACAAGGTAACAACAGTAACAAAAAATAGTGTTGTAGTACCAGTAGTTATCCGTAACGTAACGGGCATTGCACTAGATTAAGAGGGGGCTATATTACAGCTCATGGGGTCAAACAGTCATATTAATGGTATTATTATCATTAAGGTGCATTTACAGAGGTGGCAGTGCATAGATGTTATGTTATTGAAGAACTCTCTACAAAAAGTAATTATTGCTTTCTTTGTAGGATCACCATGCATAACGACTTAGCCTTTAGAACTGAACTCAGGCTAGAGATAGCGACTCATCGTAAGGGTAGAAAATTAACAGCTCTCAATTGCCCAATCTACTTAACTTCTGAAATATTTGAAGCAATTTAGCAACCTATGGGAATATTGAACTACTTAGAGGAAACTCAATATATGAAAGGATTCGGTGCAGGACAATGGTTAATGGCAGAGTTCTCAAGACTAAAATACATGGATCAACAGCTGTGAAACAAATCTTAAGTCCTTTAGCATGAGAACCAACCTACCCCGAAACCTACAATTTACCTTCAAAGCTTCACTAGTTGTCCACACGACATCTAACCTGGTTGCAAGAACGAGATTGAGATCAGATTTTGTGAGATCATTGTGATAGGTTGTAGTTAAACGTATTTTTCATATACATAAACAAGATAAAATAGGTTTGACTACAACGGTCTCCCAAGATCCACAGTGGCTGACCCTACCATAAATTGAGCAGCATAAATCAATAAGTTATGAGCTAGTGGCTTAAGAGACTAGCACAACACTACGGTACCTAGAGCTATGTTCTCTACGAATAAGACTTTAAAATTCATCTTTTATGGGAGCTGATCGATCATCAGTAGTTTGTAGAACTTTTAAAAGAGTTCTTCAAAATGTTAGAGAAAACTATCTTATTATAATATATATATATATATTTTTTTTTTCTAAACTGCATAAAGTAAAAATTTTATTTTGAAAATTCTACTTTTACTCCACAAGTTCATAAATCTGTCACATAATGCCACACCGAATGACAAGTCCTGGAGGCTAAAAAACAGGTTGATATTTACAAATGTGGGAGCTAAAATAAGCTTAGATATTAAGCCAAAACTTTATGATTAAGGACAATATTTTTTTTTTTTGTAATTCTAGGAGCAAAAAACGATTCTGTACACATACGATCCAGGAAAATATGAGAAACTGTGAACAAGGAAAGATGTTTTAAGTGACCAGAAACAGTGGAGTCTAAACTGGAGATGCTATAACGGGTAACACAGCCCAGCTAATGTAGCTGAGTGTGTTCACCAGACGACCCAGCTAGAGTCGTCTTCACCAGAGGCACCACCTCCCTCCATGTGTTGTCGTACACTCACCACCGGCTCAGCACATCATCACTACCACCCTCATTTGGCTGTCGAAACAGTGGAGTCAAGTTCCTGAATATAAACTTAATGATACCGACCATAGGCGGCGTTGAAACCCATTCTTAAGAAAAACAAAAGTTCCCACAGTCTGTGTACGTGAGTAAGGGTATAGTGTGAGCTGACTGCGGGAGTGGGTGGTGTGTGACGAGGGCATGAAGGAAGTGGTGTGCGTGTGTAGGGGGATCTGGGCTGCCCCTCAGTGCTACACCCACTACCACCTCCCGGCTCTCACCACTACTCTACACATCAGTTTTCAATATTTTCTCTAACATTGCCCACTCACCCCCGTGTAAGTCTTGACTTATTTCAGATTCACTTTAAAACTACTAATAATGATATGAAAAAATATCAGCAATATCTGGACAGTATTAACAGTGATCTTTCTGTTGCTTCTTTTTCCTTCACTTACAGGTTTATGGGTGAGCTGCGTGTGTGCGTGTGTGTGTGTGTGTGTGTGTTTGCACCTTAAGCAACAGCAGTAGACTCAGCACACTCAGTCTCACATCACCACCATGATTCTCTGCACTAATGTTAAACATTTCTTAAATCACAAATTTTTCTCACGCGATATGAGCTCTTGGATCACAAATTTTCACTCAACATATGGCACGAGCTCTCTGATCAAAAATTTCTCTTAAATATGGAGAGTTCTCAGATCATGAATTTTTGTTTTTCAAGCGAGTAGAAAAAAGTTATTTGTTCAAAACTTTTTCAAAGGGATCACCAGAATTTTTGTCACCTTTAACACTTACACCATCACTGATTTTTGCTGTGAACACCTGGATCACCTTTAATTTGACTCGAGACAAGTGCATCGTCATAATTATTCGCAAAATGTCAAATCACCACAGTTTTCTTCTTCGTTTAAAGGTCAAATCACCAGAATTTTCGCCATAGGCACACCAATCACCATAGGCACACCAATCACCAAAACTTCTCCTCGACATAGGATGAGCAGACACATGGTGGCCGAGTCGGACAGTCTTGGGTGTCCCAGCAGCAGTGTACCACCTTATGCATCTATGTTTGACATTTTGCGTGAGCATGTGCGTGTGTTTACATCTGCGCAAGTTTACATGAACATGTGTTTGCGTGTAAGTGTCTTACATGTGCGTATGTGTGCTTCCCCAACAAGCCAAGTCTGAGTACAGTGGCCACCAGCCGAGGCTCTGTTGGAGATCAATTTACTTCATTAAATTTATCCGTTTCTGAATGAAACTTGGGGTGACATCATCTTGCCAGGCTAATTTATTGGTGTAGTTTGTGGTGGGTGCTAGTGCATTGGGAGTGGGGGGGGGGGGAGCACAAGCTTGTGGTAGTCAAATGTGGCCTTGGATGTGGCTGGCAAAACTTGATCAAGCTGTAGGTCAAGCTTGTAGGTGATAATGCTAGGTGAGGCAATATGTAAGGTCCCTTGGTGGCAATACTTTTGTCAGGTTGGCTATGGTGATGTTAACACTGCCAATATGACTGTGACAAGGGGCTGGCAATGCTGAGAGGTTAGCATCATTGTGGTGGTGGCAACATTTTGTCAGGGTGCTTGTCAAGTCGGTAACACTGTGTAACACTGACAGATTTAGAGCTAACAAAACTGTGTAAGAGTGATCACAGAAGTGTCAATATGCAGCAAGCTAGTTGGTGAGCTAGCAGGACAGTGCCAAGCTGAATGTAAAGGTGGCAACAGTGTCGGGATTGTTGAGGGTGTGGCGGGAGCTTGGCGGGCCGGGGTGATCGTCACACTGGCGGTAAGGTGTTGGAAGGACACAGCAGCTCAGGAGGGGCGGCTCGGTCTCCGCTGACCGCGACACTATCTGTCGGGTAAACACAACATTAATACATGACACTAGGATGTTCATTCGTAAAGATAATATATAAATGAGTGATGGTTTATATTGTGGACGTCTGAGATGCTGCACCTCATTATAATGTACATATCTATAAAAGTGAGGTGAAAAACACCAGAAAAAAACACACAAATATTTAAAAAAAAAAAAAAATAGGTTTGGTTTGTATGTAATGTGCCGTAGAGTTTGTGTGTATTGTATACATGAGTTAGAACTGTGAGGTAGACCTTAAACATCTCTCATATATTAAAGACACCAATAGCTGTACACCACCAGAGCCATTCACTGGAAGTAAAAGTGGGCCCTGATGCCAACCAGTGTGGTGGCTACAACACAATGTACACTAAACCAACTGGTACACGAGGAGGCAGTGTGGATGTGAGTGCATCTGACTGCCCTCAGCTCCCAAAGTATAAAAGTAGGCACCCATTTAAAGTAGGACGGACAGCTGTGCTCTGGGGATCGAACAAGCTACTCTTGGGACAGGAGTTGAGTGCTGTATCCACTTCACTAACAAATTATAGAAAATGCTGTATATTATTGTACTACATTGTATTTCCTCAACAACTTGACTATAAATATTGAGAGTTAAACTATATGCATATGTATAGGTAAAAATGAACGTGATTACACTTACAATTACTCATATTTGGTATTACTTCATATTTAAGACCAACATTATTTCTTATGAGTAGTGAGTAGGAATTTGTTAACCAATTCATAAAAATAACAACTTACTACAGTAGACAAACATAGGAAGGCACTAAAGCGCGTCACTACAGTACCACTAAAATTATACAATGCAAACTTGGAAACATTAATACACAGACACACAAACACACACGACAATATACTACATAATGCCAAGACCTACCCTAAGCAATTAATCTATACATAAATATAATACAGAAATACGATACATGCAGGAAAGTTAAAAGAATAGTCTACGAGAAGCTACAGAAGGTGAATAAACAAGAGTAACTTAACCAGGTAATAACAGGTACCCAGGGTATTGAGGACTACCTATATTTATATTCTGAACCAACTCCGGGACCCAAATCTTATCCTAATGATTCTTGAAAAAGCTTCATTTTGTTTTCTAATACTTTATGATTCCTCTGTGAATTTTTTTTATAAATATAGATATTTTTTTATGAATTTCTGTTTTTTCGGAGTGTAATATAATATATACAGTAAGACCTTCATTTAACGGACACCAATCTAACTACTGTATTTGTGTGATATTCGCCTACGAGTTAATCTTGTTATGACAGCATTTCTATATAAGGGAGAACCAACACAGTATTTAGCACAGCATCGGAACTCTGATACCATTAAGTACACAACCTTACCCGGGATACGATCATACGGGTAAGATAAAAAGAAAAAAGTAAAACACGGGTAAGATAAAGAGAGAAAAAGTAAAACACGGGGAAGATAAAGAGAGAAAAAGTAAAACACGGGGAAGATAAAGAGAGAAAAGGTAAAACACGGGGAAGATAAAGAGAGAAAAGGTAAAACACGGGGAAGATAAAGAGAGAAAAAGTAAAACACGGGTAAGATAAAGAGAGAAAAAGTAAAACACGGGGAAGATAAAGAGAGAAAAAGTAAAACACGGGGAAGATAAAGAGAGAAAAGGTAAAACACGGGGAAGATAAAGAGAGAAAAGGTAAAACACGGGGAAGATAAAGAGAGAAAAAGTAAAACACGGGTAAGATAAAGAGAGAAAAAGTAAAACACGGGGAAGATAAAGAGAGAAAAAGTAAAACACGGGGAAGATAAAGAGAGAAAAAGTAAAACACGGGGAAGATAAAGAGAGAAAAGGTAAAACACGGGGAAGATAAAGAGAGAAAAGTAAAACACGGGGAAGATAAAGAGAGAAAAAGTAAAACACGGGTAAGATAAAGAGAGAAAAAGTAAAACACGGGTAAGATAAAGAGAGATAAAGTAAAACACGGGGAAGATAAAGAGAGATAAAGTAAAACACGGGTAAGATAAAGAGAGAAAAAGTAAAACACGGGGAAGATAAAGAGAGAAAAAGTAAAACACGGGGAAGATAAAGAGAGAAAAAGTAAAACACGGGGAAGATAAAGAGAGAAAAAGTAAAACACGGGGAAGATAAAGAGAGAAAAAGTAAAACACGGGGAAGATAAAGAGAGAAAAGGTAAAACACGGGGAAGATTAATAGAGAAAAAAGTAAAACACGGGAACTATATTTAACGCGGCTTAAAGTGTTATGTTTAGCATGTAGTCAACTCCAAATCAGTCTCCATTAGAACAAAAAATGGTTAATGATAATCAGTGTAGGGTTAAGTGCTGCTGCTCCACGATAACTCAGGTATGTTAAAAGCCGACAAGTGTACCTGTGTCTCGACCAGTGTGAGATACTGGAGTTAGCGCCGCTGTGGCTTCTGTTTATCCGTCAACTAGACAGTATCCGTTGCTAATTGTGGACAGACACGTGTGGGGAGAGATAAAGGAGGAAAGGGGGGGGGCAACACCTGTAGCAGACGGCCGCTATCATCACGAGGAAGTTATGGTGCACTTCATAAGGTACACTTCACTATCGACCGAAATAAAACTTCAGAAGCCCGTGTATATGTTGAGGTTGTCCACGGAGAGAGGAGGGAGGGAGGGGAGAGGGAGGGGAGAGGGAGGGGAGAGGGAGGGGAGAAGGGGGGTGGAGGTAAAAGGGGAGAGGTGGGGAGGAAGAGGGGGAGGGGGGGCGACTTTATCAGTGGCATTAGCGGCCTCAACACATCACTAGTTTCCCGCCATCATGGGAGCACTCCACGCGGCTACCACTATCTCTCTCTGTGCATTACTCTTATCTACCGTTAACCAGACCCTTACATACACCCACGTCCTTAAGGGCTGACAAAATCTCTCTCGTCTCATTAAACAAACTCCATTTCAACGTTTCAAGGGTAGGAGATACGAGCTACGGCAGGTAAGACAGGTACGGCAGGTAAGGCAGGTAAAGCAGGTAAGACAGGTAAAGAAGGTACGGCAGGTAAGGCAGGTAGCAGGTAAAGCAAGACAGGTAAAGAAGGTACGGCAGGTAAGGCAGGTACGGCAGGTAAAGCAGGTACGACAGGTAAAGTAGGTTAGGCAGGTAAAGCAGGTACGGCAGGTAAAGCAGGTAAGGCAGGTAAGTCACTGCATATAGCTGGCAGGGATGAGGTCTGGCGGGTCAGGATGAAGCTCCACCGGGTGACAAAAATACCCGACATCACCTGAGTGACTCAAGAGTGATGTGGGAGGGTGAAATAAAGATTAGTGGTAAGAAGGAAGGAAACCTCTCACGTGAAAACAAGGAGGGGAGAGAGGTGGAGTAGAGAGGGGGGAAGGGGAGAAAAAGGAAAAGGACGAGGAGGAGGATAAAGGGTAGCGTATGGAAGAGAGGAAAGGAAAGTACCGAGTGAAAGGAGAAGGGGGACTGGAAAGTGGGAAGAATCTACTGAACGTTGGATAAAATAACAAAAACAGAGAGAGAGAGAGAGAGAGAGAGAGATAAAAACTTCAAGGTCATGAAGAGATAAACACAAAGGGGGGGTGAACGTGAGCCTCAAGTCACCTAAACAGTTTACATGACCTATAAACTGCCTCCTCCGTCCTTTACTCACGCAACACCCAGGGAGGAAAGGATAGGAGGGGGGGGGGAGGGGGGAGGGAGGGAGGGAGAGGAGGGGGAAGGGAGAGGAGAGAGGGGGAGAGGATGAGTGGTGAGTGATTCCTCTTTTAATTCTGATCCCTTGAGTTGACTTTCTTCTGTGTGAGGCTTCAACAGTCAAATTTATTACAATTACCATAAGGAAGGAAGGAAGGAAGGAAGGAAGGAAAACTTTAGCGCATAGTGATCATGTTCATTCACTCTATAATTAAACATGTATACTGTATGACGGCGCCGCCAGTATACATATACATATACAGTATATACATAGATTCTTCCTCTTAAATAACACCCAATATAACACAAGCTATATAATATTCATATAAATATACGTCAATGTTTATAAGATATATACTATAAAGACTAACTTCATTACAGCATTAATGACAAAAAAAACCAAGTTTCCTGTTTTATAGTTGGACTTGTTTGTAAATACTGCTGATGATACATTGTGTTTATGAAGGCACGAAGCCCAACCTATTACCAGATGCAGTAGTGATGGGATATGGTAATAAGTAAACAAATAAACAAGTAAATAAGCAAGTAATTAGTGAAGCTATCGGAAAACTGGCTCGGTGAAATTGTTACAAATCCTTTCCTTTAAGTGTGGACTGGCGATAGCGTGGGGCGTCAGTGTATAAATTGTGGTTCATAGTCAAGCACTCACTCGGGTTTACAGAGTCATTCCTACACCAGATTAAGAAATCCAAGTTACTTATAAGACAGTCAATAAATAAATAAATAAATAAATAAATAAATAAATTTCTTGGCCTATGGGCGTATTGTTATTGGTTGTGACGTCACGCCTTACCCCGGGATCTGACACCCAATTAAAATTCACTTCATCAGAACTATTTAAATTAGGATTATAAACGATAATCATGGGGGAAAAAATCACGTGTTTTTTTCCATAAATTTCCAGACAGTATTAACACTTAAATAATAAATTAACAAGAGCTGGAGTTGTTTAATGAGGGAGATTATATTAGGGACCTTTTTGCAGAGTCTCTCTCTCTCTCTCTCTCTCTCTCTCTCGTTTTAATCAAGTTTCCGCTGTTGGTGATTATATCTACTTTAACCAACTCGTGTGTGTGTGTGTGTGTGTGTGTGTGTGTGTGAGGGAAGAGTAATGGAAATAGTTGTGTCGTCACTATCCCTTGGCAGGGGTGGGGAAGGGGTGAGGTGGGGGAAGAGGGGTGAGGTAAGAAGGAGAGGGGAGAGGAAGGGGGAGATGATGTGAGGATGAGAGGGGATGGGAGGGAAGGGGAGCAACACCAGCGTCGTTTAGGGGGTG